TTGCACATAGCACATACTTAAACTTGTAACTTCATTATTGCTATTTGTTTGTTTGTTTGGTTGGTTTTTTGAGACACTCATGTAATCCAGGCTGGCCTCCAACTCAGTATGTAGCCTAGGGGGTCTTGAACTGCTGTCCTCTTGCTACTATCTCCTAAGTGCTGGTATTGCAGGAGTATACCACCATGTCTGACTTTAACATTTTGACATATAACCATGAATCTATCACCACCCACACGCAATAATAAATTAAATTTGTGTTTACTCATCTGTTTTTTTAAAATACTTTATTTATTCTTATTTTATTTGCATTGGTGTTTTGTCTGTATGTCTGTCTGTGTGGGGGTGTCAGATCTTGGAGTTACAGACAGTTGTGAGCTGCCATGTGGGTGCTTCGAATTGGACCAGAGTCCTTTGGAAGTCAGTGCTCTTAACTGCTGAGCCATCTCTCCAGTCCCATGGTTTTCTTGTCCTTTTAGTCCCCCTTCATATCTGTCCTTGCTCCATCCCTAGGCATCCACTAATCTACTGCTTTTATGTTAGTTTCTGTAATTTTCCCTAAATGGAATCAAACAGTATACAGTATTCCCTCTTTGGTCTGACTGATATTCTGCATTTTTATTTTGAGATTCATCCATGTTGTTTCATGTCATCAGTGGTTTGGTACATTTTTTTGTTTGTTTTTCGAGACAGGGTTTCTCTGAAGCTTTGGAGCCTGTCCTGGAACTCACTTTGTAGACCAGGCTGGCTTCGAACTCAGAGACCTGCCTGCCTCTGCCTCCTGAATGCTGGGATTAAAGGTGTGCATCACCACTGCACGGCCGGTTTGGTACTTTTTAATCATTGAATAATAGCCCCTAACATGGATGTATTACGCAACCTGTTCAACCACTCAGGGATAAGATGTTTCCACTTTGGAGGTTTATTTATTTGTTTGTTTGTTTATCTATCTGTCTTATTGAGATAGGGTCTCATTATGTAGTTCTGGCTGCCCTGAAACTCACTCTGTAGACCAGGCTGGCCTCAAATTTACATAGATCCACCTGCCTCTGCCTCCTGAGTGCTGGGGTTAAAGGCATGGACCACCATGCCTGGCATACTACTTCTTATGGGAAATACATAGACATGAAATAGTTAGATCATCTGGTAAACGCATGATGATCACATAGGTCCTCTCTGTATTTTATTTGTTTCCTTTAGAAAGTGTCTCAATGTATATAGTCCTGGCTGGCCTGGAACTGGCCATGTAGATCAGGCTAGCCTTGAACTCACATTCCTGTTTGCCTCCTGAGAGCTGCAGAAAGCAGGCGTGTGTGCCACCACACCTGACTTCCATTTTCTATGATTTATATTGTGTGTGGGAAGGCAGGGGCACACGCACCACAGTGCACTTGTGGAATCAAGGACAATTTGCTGGGTTCTCTCCTTCCACCATGCAGGCCCCAGGGCTCAAACCTGTCAGGCTGGCGACAGGCACCATTACTTGTGCTCTTTTAAATTTCACAGTTTGAGGTTCTATGTTTCTGCACTCTGACTGGTCTTGGTAGCTTCATGGAGTCATGTAACCTTGAGTCTTTTTATTTTATTTTTCATTTTGGTTTTTGAGACAGGGGTTCTCTCTGTAGTCCTGGCTGTCCTGGAACTAGCTTTGTAGACCAGATGGCCTCGAACTCACTGAGCTTTGCCTGCTTCTGCAGAGTGCTGGTATAGTCTCTCTACTGCTAGAGGCCTTATAATTCACCTTGCTGGTTCAAATTCTGTTCACAGGGAAACCCTCTATTACCTTGATCATCCAGTCAAAGGAGTCTTGTGTAGCTGCCATCGTTGGCAGTGAGTTCAAGGGCATCCTGGTCTCCATAGCAAATTCCAAAACAACTGGGGTTACAAATACCCTGTCTAAAAAAAAAAAAAAAGTCATTTTTGTTTTGTTTTTGCCCCAGACATGGTCTCACGTAAGGTAGGTTGGCTTCAAACTCCTGTGTGGTTAAGAGGCCTGCATCACTTCTCCCAGGTTGGCTTCAGGAATGCTAGGCAAGCACTCTCCCAGTTGAGTTACATTTCCACATTTGTTTGTTGTTAGGAGAACCTCACTTCAAGAGGCAGCAGTCTCCCATATTTTCCTCCTGCCTAAAAAAGTGTCAGCACTTATTGGAGGCTCCATGCTTTTTGTATTTGATGGTGCTATGGCATGCTAGGTTAGATAAGTACTTTACCACTGAACTACATTCCTGAGTCCATGTTGAATGCTGAATATTGCATATGGAATAGTGGATTATGACTGGGCAGAGCTAGAAGAACGCAGAGATCCAGGCTGCAGGCCAGGCCTTTCCTCCTTTTCAGCCTTCCCTGGCTGTGCTGTAGCCAGAAGTCATTTGATTAGGTCTTGTATGTGGAAGGTTTCTTAGCTGTTCCATGGTTCTGCCTCAGAATTTGTCATTTCACCCTTTCCACCAGGAATGGTGTCATAGGCACCTCCCTAGATCACAGAGAAACACTGGCCAGGAACAGCTCATATGGCTTAATGAGGGGCCTGGTCCTACTGTTGTTGCTTATTGTACAAATGGTATAGATGTCAAAAAGAAGTTCAAGGTCACACAGTGAACTGGCAACTTTGAGGACCTAGGACCTACTTCTCTTGCTGGCAATGAAGTTCCCTAGATCTAAAGTCATATTGCCCAGGGCTTGGAGACTTTCTGACTGGGCCCTGACAAGACTTGGCAGACTGGTCAGGTTCATGGCAAGGAGGGGGTACACATCTCTATGTTGGCTCACTCACAGGGAGAAGGCAGCAATTGTAGAGGACACAGAGTGCCATCATCCCTGTGGTCTAAGGACACTGACTCAGGCAGGTCCTGACAAGGGAGCAGGGGTCACTGTGAGTCACCCCTATTTCTTTATCTGCCTCTCCAGGGAGAAACTCCCAAGAGGTTTCATGGACACATGTCAAAGGTCTGTCCTATCCTGAGGCAAGAGGCTAGGCCCTAGGAGAAGAGTAGAGCTCAACACACTTCACCTCTTGCTGAGACAAGCAGCCTCCTGTCTAGGCAAAGGGCAGGGCAGATGCAACTCAAGCTCCACTCTGAGAACAGTTTCCTTTTCCACCCCAGCTTGGGTTTCGGCCTGTTTGCTGATGCAGGGAGGTGTAACTGGACTGGGCTGGCCAGAGCATTTGAAGATGGACAATAAAGCCATGATGAAAATGATACTTGCCTTGTTTGATCCAGAGCAGCCAGTGTGCTCAGCACTTTCCCACCCATTACTTCATTTAATCTTCATGAGGAGGTGCAATTAGTAGCCCCATCTTAGAGAGGATGGAACAAGGTGCAGAAGCAGGGGAGTGGTTTGCCCAAGGTCTCCCAGCTGTCTGTGGCAGGGTGGGACTGGAACCTGTGCGGAGAGGCAGAGAGCTTTTTACTTTTCTAATAAGTAAGCTTGGTGGCAAGTGATCTTATCCTTTGATTCCTCTCTCTCTGGCCCAAGAATATTCTTTCTACCCCTTTGTTGCAGAAAAGACCCCCAAGTAAGCCCTTGACCCTCTAGATCTTGTCCCTCACACTCTTCAGAGCCTGGAGTTAAATGGAGTTTTGAATGTGTGAGGATGTTATAGTGGATTGGCTGGGGCAGATTGCTCAAATCTCTAGGGTCCTTACCTTGAAATAGAGGGCTTGTTCCAGAAGTTTTAGCACCTGGGCTGGGCATTGTCCAGGCCCTTCATGTTCAAGTATGTCAGGGAGTTGAGCAGGTGATTATGGTACCTACTGAGTCAGGACCTGTTTACTGTAGTATAAATAGAAGTGGCTTCCCTGGGCCCCCTGTTGACAGGCAACCTGGACATGGGGCATAGAGCTAGGTGATTGTTTCTGTGTGGACCAAGACCTCCCTTTTGCTCCATAAGAGAAGGCTTGATATCAGGGGCCTTGTCTAGAAGTTTATGTTTGGCTTCAGTTTTCTTTGTGGTTTTTCTAGACATTGTTTCTCTGTGTAGCCCAGGCTGTCCAGGGACTTTGTAGAGCAGGCTGGCCATTGAGATTTGTCTGCCTCTGCCTCCCAAGTCCTAAGATTGAAGTAGTGTACTACTACCCCCCAGCTGGCTTTGAGTGTTCTAGCTATAGTTCATGTTTGGGTGGGGAGGGCTATATATCCATTATCTATGAGATGTCACACTTGTAAAGGCAGGCATCACAGTTCCTCCTTACAGGGCCTGACACTACCCACTGCTGATGAACAGAGTCAGACATGCCTCAAAACCTCAGCCAACCACTTACTAACTTTGTGAAGTTAGGGAAGCAACCTAACTTGGAACCCACTTCTAAACTCTAAAATGGATAGAATGTCTTTAGCACTGGGCTGCCATGAGGATGGAATGATTCAAAGACAAACTTCACAAATACCCTGCCCAGTCCAGCCCCGGTGCTCTTGGCAGTAGTAATGTGCCCTAGCTTACAAAGGAAAGCAGTGTTCCAGAACAAGTAAGTGGCTGAAACCTTAAGGAAATCAGCTAATGGCAAGGTGGCTGCTTGAGTCCCTGGTTTAGGAAAGTCTCCTTACCTCTGAGGCAGTTCTGCAAGTCCTCTAGCTGGAGGTGGGGGTGGGACTGACTGAAACCCAATTAATACTAATGGCCGATCAACAGGCCCACACGAAAAACCAAGTGGCAGGGAGGAGGGAGAGCATAAATACCAGATCCAAGCAGGATGGGGGCCATCCTAATCTTCTTCCAAGGAATAGGTGTCTCCTAAAATATCCTCCCAGCCCTGGCTGTACTGCACACAAGCTGAGGGACAAGGGGAGGCAGCTCCTAACCCACAAGAAACCCACAGTTTACAATGTGGAAAAGGACTGTGGTAGTGGGCACACCAAAGGGATGGGAGGTCAACTGTGTCTATCAGAGCTGAGTCACGGTGAGGGTGACTAACAGTCTCCTGAGGCCCACAGCAGTGGCCATTTCTCCATTCCAAAGGCACCCCAGAAACAAAACACGTCAAGAGTAAGCAGGAGGCTATTATATATCATGCTTTTAATACAAACTTAAAAAAATCTGGAACAATATAAACTGTACAGATTTGATCAATCTTTGTTTTGAAACTAAATCTCTAAACACACCAATGTCTCATTCCAAAATATTGCACAACGTTCTGAATACAAAATGTCTTGATTGCATTCTTCCTTCACAAGAGAAAAAAGTCATTGCCCTGATTCCAGCTCCTCTCCATGGCTGCTGCCTCAATGCCAATTCCCACCCCCAAGGAGAAACTACAGAATCAAGAGAAAGACAGCATTCTGGACTGACAGCTACATTCTTAGCAAGATGATCCACCTTCAGGTTTGCTCTTGGGTGAGAAGGCTAGAGAGGATGGGGAAAGGGGAGGAAAAGGTTTTATGTTCCTATTTTTTAAAGTTTGTTTTCCTGAAAAAATATTGGTTTCTCTCCTTTTAAGAAAAAATCTTGAAAAGAAAATTATGTTTCTTACATTAGAAATATACATATATTATATATACCTCTTACATTTTACAAATGTAGCAAATTATTCAATACAAACGGACACCAAAAAATGTAAAAAATAAAAAAAAGTTTTTCTATGAAACCAGGTAAATTAGTGCAGAGTTTTTTTTTTTTTTTTTTCTTAAAAAAAATAAAATTGAAGCAAAAATGCCTAGATTTGCGCTGAGACACTGACCTGGGCCAAGAGCCCAGTCCAGGAGTCACGTTCCTGAACACTCACTTTTCTTCCTGCATCAAATGACACAAGGGGCTGGGCTCCAGTCTCCCCATGTGTGAGAAAACAAGCTGGCTTGGGTGCAGGTGCGACCTGTGTGCACGAGGGAGGAGGGGCTGGAAATGGGGGTAAGGCAATACCCGACTTGTCCCAGAGAGGCTGGGCTGTCACTTGTGTGGGCGCTGAGGATGAAGGAACAGGAGGCCCAGAATGGGCTGGCTGGAGGAGACTAGGGACAGATGGTGCTGAGCTGAGAACTCAGGGTCTTGCCCTGCTGGGGGAGGTAGAGCTAGTGCCCAATGCAAGGAGAGGGGGTTGGCAGTGTCCATCTGGGCTGAACTCACTGCCAGGGCAGTTCCTTCCCACACAGAGTCCCCTGGGGAGGGTGGAGGTCAGGGTTTTGGTGCTTTCTGGTGGTGGGGCTTCTCGTCTGCCCACGAGATCCTATCTCACAGCATCAAGATCAAGTAGAGCTAGGTGAGGGCAGACACAGTATAGCAAGAGACAGGAACCAAGTTTTCAGATGGTGCAAATGCATTTTCACCTATAACCAAAAACCACAAAGTCTTAATTCAAGGCTCAGAACTGCCCACCACAGGCACTGTCTCCAAATTCTCTCCCTGTCCTTACCCTGGGCGAAGGTCACACAACAGAGTTGTTGAAGTCTAGGGACTCCTCTTAGGCAGCAGGTTTGGGTATTCCTCACGCCCTTCTGAGGTGTTTTTGTTTTTTTGTTCAAAAACAAAAGAGCAGATCCCTCCGCAGTCTGGAAAACCAGTTCCTTGTGCAGTGCTTTGCCCTGGAATTAGGCTTAGCCATGTGTCACCCCACCACATACACTGCCCTACAGCCTTACAAATGCACCATCAATCCACCCTGGGCCCATCCCCCAGCTTTGTATATAAATAAGCACTTCTTACAACCAAGAATCATACCCAGAGAGGGAAGTTCCATGTGGCTTGAAATCCGTTAGAACAGACAGCAAGCCACACACATTCACAGGCATGAATGCACATACACACGCACACACACACAAACACACGCACACACACACACACTCCCACCTCTATCCTGTACCCTAACCTCAGGCTCAGGGAAAAGCTGCACTGGGGAAGGAGAGTTTACATACAGTGTGTCTAGGAGGGAGTGAGGGATGGGGCCACAGGACAGAGAAGGATTACAACTAGAATACGTACTAACCTTCCTATAGTCACAGATATTAACTTTAGGGGGAGTGTGTCAAGTAGCCAGTCAGCAGCTCCCCATGACCCAGCCTGAGGGGGAGGTAAAGCTAGGGCCAGACATATTTGGGTGGTAGGACCTGAGAAGACAGCCAGTATGTAGAGGTCATGGACATAGGGCCAGTTTTTCCTTGTGAGCTTGAACACACCAATCCCAAAGGAGCATGAAAGGAGGGAGTGGGGAGCAGCAATTCACATCTGGACCATTCTCAGTGCAGGAAACCACTAAAGATGTCATATAGAAAACTACATGTCACAAAAAAACAAAAACAAAACAAAACAAAACAAAAAAACAAAAACCCAAACCAACCAAATGAAATCGGGGCAGGCAGAAAAATAGTTGGGGGCTGAGTTACACATGTCTTTGGGTTTGGGAGCCCCCTCCTACTCTGTGCCTGGGCGGATCTTTTTCCTAGCTGTGAGAATGAGAAGATTAGAATCTTTTTGTACAGTTCTCTTTTCCTCTGTTGTTTGGCCTTTCCTTTCTCTTTTCTGTGGTTGTGGGTGCTCCTGGCCTGGCAGACAGGAAGACAGTCAGTTGGCTAGCACAACAGGCTGGAAGGGCTGGTTGGGATATTGCATGGTGTTCAGGTTGTAGCTGAGGCCTTCTACAAAGGGTGTTTTCTCCAAAAAGAGGCTGTTAGTGCCACCTCCGAACACCTGGGACACATCAAAGCTGCTGTTGTTACAAGTGCCGGCTCCACTACTCCCAAAGGGGGCCGAAGTGCTGTTGCCCTGGCCATCTGCTCCATCAAAGAAGAGGCTGGGTGAGCCACCACCGTTGTACACAAATTCCTTGGCATTGGGTGAAAGCTGGGACTGAGAGGCCGGACTGGCTGTGATGAAGTTCAGTGAATGCATAGACAAAGAGAGGTTCTTGTGCTTCAGCAGGTTATTTGTGGGTGAGCGGGCCATGCGAGGCTGCTGTTGTGGTGGCTGCTGGCCACTAGCCCCACCGCTAGCCACACTCACACCACTTGATGCTCCACCACCCTTCTTCATCTTTGTGGAGCCAAATTTGGTGGCAGCAAAAGAGGCGGTAGTGAAGGTAATAGGCTGGGCAGATCTGGGGATAAAGGTTGGGCTGGGTGACTGGCCAAAGGATGGCGATGGAGAGTTAGACAGGGAGCTGTCCTGGCTGCCAATGGGCACAAACACCTGGGCATCAGGGTTGAAGCTGCTCTTGATCTCCTTGTCCAGCTCTGGGGCACCACCACCCTCACTGTCATCTAGGTATAGGACTTTCACAGTTCCCTTCTCACCAATCTGGTAGGATACCTCGAAAGGGTCAATCCAGACACTCAGTTCCTCGGGCACATTGGCACGAACATCCTCCACTGCTAGACCACTCCGCTTGGCAGCCAGCTCCACCACAGGGTCTACCATCTCCCCAATGTGGACACAGCGGAAGCCAGAACCTTTCAATGGCTTCTCAGGGTACCAGTGGCCTTCATACTTCTTTTTTAAAAGCCGCTCTAGCTCCTCCCCAAACAGGTCTGCCCGTCGCCGGGGCAGCTTGTTATACAAATAGGAGATGATGAAGTTTAGGGCCACTTTGATCTCCAGCTGCATGATCCTCTCTTGGGCAGAGAATCAGCACGGGATACGTGCACAGGCCAAGGGCAGTGGTGGGAGTAGAAGATGAATGGCCCTGGGATCCAGAGGGTTCTAAGAAGAAAAAAAGGAGAGGCTCATGATGAATACATATGCATAAAGAAAGGCATCCAGTACACACTGCCCAGCTGTGCTAGTGTGGTGATCAATGACAGAGGACAGACAGAAAAACACCAGCTTTTGATCACAGAGATCTAGTGCCACATTCTTTTCTTTCTGTTTGGGTCTATACAGCTCTAGTTGGCCTACAACTCACTATGTAATAGACCAGGCTAGCCTTGAACTTGCAATGATCCACCTGCCTCTGTTTCCCAAGTGCTGGGCTTACAGGCAAGAATGACCACTCCTGGCTTTGGACAAATCCTTTCTTTTTAAACCTTAGTTTCCTCATCAGTAACCTGAGGTTCAAAGACAAAGCTACCCTATACTAAGTACTTAGTAGGCACTTAGAATAGAACTGTGCTTTCTATCATTTTGAGAATTCAAGATAGTGTCAAAATGACATCAAAGGACTAAGGAATAAAACTAGGCCCCCAATCTAGCTGGATCTAACTCTTGCTGTCTCTGCAATGTCTCCATCAAATTGTGCCCCAAAACTGTCAAATGCTCGAAGACATAAGTTTCAAAGTTGTAGCTTCCCTCCTTCAATTGGATGAGATACAGGTCACTGAACATGAAGGGACACTGCCAACCTTTCACTGAGGCTTGAACTCCAAAAGCGCAATCTGTCAGCTCACAAGGGAATGGTTGGACCAGGAGAGCTGAGGGGAAGTGCAGGAAACAGGGCCTTGGTGGCTGGCAGGACGCTAAGAGAAGTAGCAGTGTAGCCTGAGGGAATCTCCACTTTCTGGCAAGGTTGAGAGTGATGAGGATAGCAGTGGGAAGAAATTTTCCATCACCCTAGAGCTTCCAGCTGGGGACCCATCATCACTCAGTCTCTCAAGGACTATCTGACCACCTGTCTTCAGCTCCAGAACAGATTTATCAAGTGTTTGGAGAACCCCGCCTGGGGGGCAGCCCAGGATAAACACTCAGATTGTTATTTTGGGATTCTTTCATAGCCAGATCCCACTGAGGTCAAAAAGCTTTACTTCCTAGGTCTGGGCAAGCCTCATGTTGCAGGAAGATGATCTGTGAGGTCCTGGGAGTCAACCATCTTAATCACATTTTCCATAGAAGGATGGCTTCTGCTTCTAGATTCCTGCTTGGGGAGAAACTAAACTGAAAAGGCCCCTCTACAGCAGGCAAAGCCAGAGCACATATCTCTAGTTAGACCTTTGAGCAAAGCCATGTGCTGACCTCAGCAAAGACAAGGTTTACCAGTGACCCAAGGGCATCTTCTGACTTGTGTGGGACTCAGGGCTACATTTTGATTAATGTTCTTTCTGGTTGAAAAGTGAAGTCTAACTCTAGGTTTGAGAATCTTGAGTTTTCTGAACAATTACTTTGACATGTTTTCATGTTAATTCTTAGGCCTGGGCTCAAGGTTTTTATGGAGCACGCCAAGAACCCAATCTTCAGAAGACTTGGGTGTGTACATCTGAGAAGGCACCCAGAGTCCATCTGTAGGAGCACATAAGTACCCCATTTAGTCACCCCCAGTCCATGTATGAGAGACAAGGAGTTGCTGCTCAGAATTCAGGGAATCCCAATTTCCCCTGTACCCTGGCCTCCAAACACATTTGCTAGTCTCTTCAAATGTCTACTCATAACACGGTGGTGGTGACGCATACCTTTAATCCCAGTGCTAGGGAGACAGAGGCAGATGGATCTCTGTGAGTTCAAGGCCAGTGTGGTCTACAAAAAGCTAGTTCCAGGACAGCCAGGATTGTTACACTGAGAAACCCTGTCTCAGAAAAATAAAACAAGACAAAAAACAAAACAAAACCCCAAAAAAGTCTACTCATGACCAAGATAGATTGGATCTAGGGTCCTTGGTTTAAAGAGAATAATAATTAAAAAGAATAAGGGATGTTGCACACCTTTAATCTTAGCATTTGGGAGGCAGAGGCAGGCCATCTTTGAGTTCATAGCCAGTCAGGTCTATAGAATGAGTTCCAGGACAGCCAGAGCTACATAAAAGACCCAGTCTTAAGGGGTGGGTGGGAATAAGGGGCTTAGTTGATGAGGGTCAGGGTCATCACCAGATGCAAAACTGAAAGCTAGTTACTATATTGTGGGCTTTCTCCCATGTGTGAATGTAGGCTTTTCTTTTGTGTGTGTCATGAGTGGGGGCTGGAGATACTGGTTTTTATGTTGCCCAGGCTGGCTTTGAACTTCTAGGATTCAGCTGGGCATGGTGGTGTGAGCCTGTAAACACAGCACTTGAGAGGTAGAAGCAAGTAAGCAAGCAAGCAAACAAACAAACAAACAAAAACAGAAGTTCAAGGCCAGCTAAACTAAAGCAAGAACTCTATGTTCGAGCAATTCATACCTAAGTTAGAAGCTTAAGAATGAAGGTTCAATGGACTAGAGAAATGGCTCAGTAGTTAAGAATATGTGCTATTCTTCCAGAGGACCTGAGTTTGACTCCCAGCACTCATGCCAGACAGCTCACAACACTCTGTAACTCTAGCTCCAAGGAATCTGATGCCTCTGGCCCCCTGAGGTACCTGTACTCATATGCACATACCCATATGAAGATACACTTATCTATGTGTAATTCCATGGTGGTCCACTGAAGGTACCCATTATGAAGAGACTGAAAAGCTGTAAAGAAAGTTGGCATCAGGTCTCAAAAAGAGGCCTACAGTTAAAGGTTGTGTTTCCAAAGGAATTTTTGGAAAGTAAAACAGAGAAAGTGTCATCATGACACTTTCTTCAAGGCACCATAGAACCTGTTATGTCCTCAAATTTTGCTGTATAATTGCCTTCCAAGTTATAACCCCTGAATGGTATAGCCTCAAAATAGGAACATTCTAAATGTAGGCCAAAGTCATTGGGAAATAAGTCTCTCACCCCCAAAATACAATAGCACCACTGTCATCATTCCTGCCTAGGGAACCAGTATTTGCAGCATGAGCAACTAAGGCTTCACATCAATTTATACCCTAGTGGTGTGGCTGCACCAACAAGGAAGCATAGTGTTCCTCGGCCTCTTTAATTGGAGAACAGGCCAGGCCAGATGGCTATGGTGTGGAACCTTACAGAAAGGCCAGATGACTAGAACAGGAGTGCCTGCTCTACCAGCTCCGACTCTGACTTCAAGAAGCTTATGGAGAAGAGGATTAAAGTCCAGGCACTATCCTGTCTTCAGCTAAAGATAGGAGTGACCATTTGGCTGAATTTGTTTTTAGGAAGCGATGGACAAATTATAGTGCTTATATATAAAATATTTATGAAAGTATGATGAGATTAAAAAGCTTAGAAATAACTACCCTTCCAACCCTTCCAAAAAGGAACAAGTAGATTTGGTGAGCAGCTGCAGAGGACTCAGACCTTTTCCAACAAAACACTAAAAAGGCAAAAAAATAAAAATAAAAATGTTGAGTAGCCAAGTGTGGTACCAGTCAGGAGACAGGCAGACCTCTGAGAGTTCAAGGCTAGCCTGATCTACAGAGCAAGTAGCAGGCTAGCCAACACTATATAGGGAAGACTGTCTCAAAAACAGAAAGTGTTTAATTGTAAAACCTCATTTTGACAATGTACTAAAAAGTTGCAAGTAAGCTAAGGTGTGCAGTGCCTATAATTCCAGCAGATAGAAGGTTGAGGTAGAAGAGTCAAAAGAGTCAGCCTGTGCTATACACGCAACATATATTTAAAAAAAAAAATCTGTCCAAACACCTTTCCCCTCCTTATGGGTTAAACCTTGACTTGGATCCCTTGTGTTGATGTGTATTTTAGCGTTTAGGAGAAAGATAACATGAAATAAGGAAGGAGCTCTGGTGCTACACAAAGCTTTCATCAACGTTGAATCCAGAGAAACTAATGAAAATGCAAAACAAGACAAAAAAAAAAAGGCTCACATTTTAGAAAGGGCGAGGTAAAGGTGAAGAATCTCTGATAACCCCCCCTCCACCAATTCAGGTATCTTAAATTCCCAACATCCTACAATCAAGCAAGTGTGTGGAGCATTTTAACATGGTCAAGAGAACAGCCACCGTGGACAGGGAACAGGCTCAGGCAGCTGTCCAACCGGCAATATGGGTTGCAGGATTTCCAGGATATGTGTGACCCTGACACCATCTCCCTGACAGTCTGAACCACCCAGGCCACACAAGAGTCCGGTGTAGGGCAGGGTTCTCTGGGAACTCAGGAGCCGAAGGCTCGCCTCACCCAAGGCGGAGCGCTCAGCACTCTGGGAGCCGTAGTTCTCAGGCCTCTGGGCACGGGTAGCAACTCATGACCTACTTTTCGAGCACACTACACTTCCCTGCACACGATGCGAGCACCCGGCCGGCTAGACCGCGCATGCCCGGCACCAGGACCTGGCCAAGGGTCCGAAGCAGAGGAAAAGTTTCCGATGCACATGCGCGCGGCGGCGAGTAGGCTCTCCCCCTCCCATCGCCGAAGACGTTTGGCATAAATTTGCCCATAAGGCCTCTCGCCGGCTATCTTTTCTCCCCACGTCCGTGTCCAGGCTAGACTTCAATAACTCTCCTCTATCCCTTCATGACCTCTCAAGCCTACTGGATTAGGGCTATGCGACTAAGGGGGCTTTTCCTGGGTGAAGCAGGTGGGGCTGCAGCCTCTTGATCTCAATGGACTATTGCCTGTCTGGGGTAGCTGTAGGAACAGTGTACTCAAGGAGAAACGGGCCCTTTCCACTTAATACCCAGTAGGCTAGGCTCCAGCATCCCCACAGCCAAGAAGGGAATGGCAGGAATTAGATCCAATTCTCCAGTCCTGTCGGCCAAAGAAATTCCTAGTTAAGCTGTGGGGAGGCATCCAGTCAACAATAAGGCCTGAAGCCGGGTGGGGGAGGTAGGGGGTCTTCAAGCCTCACCCCACTTCTAATACAAGTCTGAGAAACCAGACCCAGGTAAGCAAGCAAAATCCGTACATCCGAAACCTGGACATCTTCTAATACTCAGAAATTCCGAGTCTCCTCCCACTGCAAGGCCTACCCTAGGACCTGACTTACCAGATCCTTGGCAAACCTCCCCTGCAAGGTGTTAAAGCTCCCTAATCCTTCCTCCCACACCAGCTGTTTTCCCCAGTGCTTAAGTGAGGGGTGGGGGTAGGCCCTCAGACAGGCAACAGGGTTTTTATTGTTGTTGTCAGTAAATCGAAGAGAAACCCACTTCCAGAATAGGGTGGATAGAAATGAGAGAGAAAGGTTAGGCACTGAACTGGCACCGGAAACCCTGCCTGCTGGTCCTTAAGCCTGCTGTCTGAGGTTCTGGTTGCTCCCAGGGAAGGGGACGGTGACAGCTTTCCTTTCCCTCCTTAAATTTTGGTCAAGGGAGCAGTCCATTCTCCCAGGACCGAAGGGGAAGTTTAGAAATAGCAGAGATCAAACAGAATTAATACACTATCTGTCAGGCTCTTTGGGTACTTTTTCCCGCCCACAACAAGAATGTAAAGCTCAACCTGCAATAAATTGTTCAGCAACCCAAGGACAGTCTCCACTAACCTGCTCGGTCATCAAAAGGGGGTTATTAACTGTGTTAATAATCACTGCCCCGCTTCCCCTCACACGGGAAAGGCAGCAGAAAAACAAGGATCGAATCCCTTTCCCACCCCTTATTTATTTAACACAGACCGGAGTTTGGTTACTTTGGGGTGAACAAGGAAAACCTGGCGAGTTAGGCGTAAAGAAATGGGGAAGGAGGTCAAGGAGGAAACGCACTCCGCCCAGGAGAGGGCCGCATTCGGAACTAGGTACCCCAGGATCAAAGAGTGATGAGAGAGCGACACCGGCGGATCTAGGAAGAGGCGGCAGGGGACTGGGCCGGTGTGGTCGCCCCCCGCCCGCCCGCGCACTCACTCGGGTCTCCAAGAAGGGGCGCTCTGCTGGCCGCGGGACGGTGGTCTCTAGCCTAGCTTCCCTGGCGCCGCGAGGCTGAGGGCCACGGTGGCCTTTTACGTCGTTGAGGGGGACGAGGACCGAGTTCATATGATTCTTTCTGCTGTTTTTGGAGGTCGAGCTCGGCGGCGACGGCGCAGGGATGGCGGACCCAATGATGGCACCAGTCACGCGGTGGATGGAGGCCCGCCCGGGATGTGGCCGGCGGGCCAAGTCCTGTCCTTCTGGCCTCTGAGCTCCCGCGACACTCAGCCCCAACGACCTACACCTTCCCGCGCCCGGGCCCGAAGTGAGCAAAGTCAATGAAAAGTTTCACCCTCGGCAACCCTGCGCATGAATCTGCTTTCCCCACCCCTGAGTGGTGCGTCCCTCCTCCCAGCCCAGGCGGGTCCGGGACTACTTTTCCTCCCGTGAGGCCGGAACTACTTTTCTTCCCGTGGCGCCTTTAACCCCTCGCAGCCCAGTTGTGGGTTAGGGTACCTGATAGTGCAAGCAACGCAGTGTCTATCTTCTCACGGCTGATCCTCTAGACCGCGCCCTGCAGTGTCCTCAGCTGTGCTGCTCGCCCTCATGATCCATCTGAGCGCCTCGGCACCGGATTTCTTTTAAGGCTCCAGAGCAGTCTGAACTTGCCATGGGCGGTTTTTACCGGTGTAGACCAAGCTCAGGGAGGGTAGAGACTAGCCTGGGTGGGACACAGCAGACACCATCAGGGATTAGTCTGGAATACTTTGGGTGTCTTGGGTAGGGGTTGGCGTCACTGGGACCCCGGGGGCTCTTGCACGAGTCTGCTCCGCGCCATCCCCACCTCCCACAGTTTCCTGAGACCATGACGGCGCGACTCTTCCAACTCTGACGGTCCCCGTGGCTCTGTCGCACTCCCTGGTTCCGATCTGTTCTAAATTTGCGAAGATGGGGGCACGACTCCAGCTTTAGAATGGTTCTGGATCTGAACCCGAGCTCACCTAAATTTACTAGCGTCGCCTTCCTGGTGGGAACGGGGAAAATCGAAGGGAAGGGAGGAGATGGTGGGAGCAAGGAGATCGAGGGTCAGAAAAAGGAGCGGAGCACTCTCAGCCTTGAAATTTTTGTTCCAAACTCCAGATAATAGCGCTGGCCATGCGCAACCGCTACCACTCTGCCGCAGTCCTCGTGCTCTTCCGGGCAGGCTGTCCCTGCTCCGCTCGGGAAAGCACCAGAGCCACGCTCCTTCTAGCAACAGCGTAATCGCATAAGTGCTAGCTCTGGAAAAGTGTTCAGCCCGACCGCATCGGGCGGCGAAGCGAGGCGCACCTGCGGCCCCGGCCTGGACTTTGGTCACGCTCCCTCGGCGGTGTAGGGACAGTATAGGCTCAGAGATGAGGATGGTGGGATCTGTGTTGGAGGGCTGGACTGTCAGACCACGAGGCTGGAAGACCGCTGGCCTTATGTATAGCCCCTTCCCCCACCCCCGCTCGCCTGTATTTTCCAGTTCTCCAACTCGTTTCTTTGTTCATGTTACTGAGGGTTCTGGTACAACTGTAGTTTCTGAACCCACGTGGGGTTCTGTGGAGATCGGAAAGGTACGAACCGTGTTCGTTTATTTTCCTTGATCACTTTGGCAAGAGCAGAAAGCAAAGGTGGCATGGAGATTTAAATACGCTTTGCTGGACAGGAGAGAAACGCCAGGAGGGGGCGCAAACTCTGTGGTGTGCGTGTGTAGCATCCCCCCACACTCCCAGTTTGACAGCCCACCCCTCCTGAGATTACTTGTAGTCTCGAGCGTCAGCAAGCGTCATACACACCCCTCTCCACTTTACCATTTTACCCTCCCTTTTCTGCACCCCTGACCACTGGAGTGTTCTATCTACGCTGTGAGACCTCCCACCAGGATGAAAGCTAAAAATACAATAGACAAGTTAGCAACAGCCCTCCCATTGGCTCTCAGGCAAGAAGTGGCGTCTGATTGGGTTTTGAATACAGCTTCTGGGGAGCGGGTATTTGCCTTAGGTATCGAAAGGGATGATGGTATTTGTAGTCGGTAAATAGAAGCGCCCAAGGAAATAGGTGTGTTTATATCCCCATTCTGCCACCTAATGTGTTTTCTGGATTTAATGCAACAGTTATGTGGTAAAGAGGAATTCTCTTCTCTTCCCCAATGTGCAATTTCATCTTGCTAGGGCTTAATTGTAAAGTGAATTACTACTCAAGCATTTTAGAGTCCCCTCCCATTTGAATAACCATATACTGAAAGACATACACCATATTTTCACAAGGGTCAGCTCTGGTGCCTGCAGAGGTGGAATCAACCACCCCTCAGAGAGCAAAGCAAGTCATGCCAGTCACTATTACCAATGACAAGTAAAACTGATCAGAATCGGAATAATTAACCCAAAATGAGTCACAATGAGACACACACACACACACACACACACACACACCAGGTCAAAGTTTTATATTGTTTCTTTGAAGTCATCCAAGAAAAAGAGTTTCTCTTTTTGATTCTTAACTGTTACACAGAGAAACTCCCGTCTCGAAAACCCAGGGTAGGGGGGAAGGAAAGAGTATCTCAAGAATTTGCTTATTCTTAACATCTCCTGCCATTGCCGGGCAGAAGCAAGGACAGCATGACAGAAGCCTACATTCTAGGAAAGTGTGCCTCTAGAGAAATGCTGGTAAAGAAGAACACAAACTATGATTTTGTTAAGATACCAAAAGGCAGTATTCAAATGAACAAACATTTTTAGCTTTGGTGGTGGCTACTTGGGGATAGCATTAATAAGGAATCAAGTTTCCAGGAATTAATGGAATCCAAGGCAAAGAATATTTCACATTTACAACCTAGCCTGAAGCTATTAAAAAACCACAGGTCAAAACGGTAACTCATAGTTTGTCTGAAATTTAACCAGTTCGGTTTGATTCCCTGGGAATTTTCTTACTTTATAAGTTGCTACGTGGGGTGTGGCAATAGCAGCCTGTGCCTGTCATCACAGCACAGTAAATGTAAAGGTGGGATTGTCACAAGATTTAGGTCAGCTTTGTCTCATAGTGAGTTCCAGAACCTCTAGGGCTCATGGCAAGACCCTGTCCCCCCAAAAAGCTGCAATATGATCAAAATATTGTCTATACATGTGTGAAATTCTCAAAGAATGGAAAAAAAAATACCACACTGAAAAAAAGTTGCTAATTGGTAAACCAAGGTCAACATTTGGTAGCTGTATTTTGTGATATATATTAACACATTTTACTATAGCTGTATGTTGATATATAACAATGTCTTCCTGTGTGTTTGCATATACACACAAAGGGGTATATTTGTACATTTTTTATTACAAATACTTTTGTGTGCGTATTTGTGCTCACTTGTCATGGTACACATGTGGTGATCAGGTTTCCTTACTGGAGTCACATCACTGGCCTGCTCTATTGTTTGTGTGTGTGCTTTTATGAGTATTGGTATTCTGTCTGAATTTATGTCCAGATGTACCATATGGGTGCAGTTCCATGAAGGTCAGAAGGTGTCAGATCTTCTGGGAACTGGATTTACAGATGGTTATGAACCACTATGTGAGTGCTATGAGTTGACCCTTGATCTAGAATAGCAGCCAGCAGGTACCCATGGAGACCAGAAAAGGTAGTGAGTTACCCTGGAAATAGTTACAGGAGGTTGTGAGCTGCCTGATATAGGTGCTAGGAAATGAACTCAGATTTCTCCACAGGGTTTCTCAGTATTGCTTTGGAGCCTGTCCTGGAACTAGTTCTATAGACCAGGCTGGCCTCAAACTCATAGTGCTGGGACTAAAGGCGAGCGCCACCAACACTCGACAACAGGATTTTTCTGTGTAGCCTGGGCTGTCCTGGAACTAGCTCTGTAGACCAGGCTGGCATTGAACTCATAGAGATCTGCCCGCCTCTGCCTCTTGAGTACCTTGACCCAAGGGGAATTATTCTAATGCTCAAGATAGACCCCTCTCCCTCCTAAAAAAAATAGTTTCAAGAGCTTTCACTTTATCCAGTTACTAGTAACTCGCTGTACTGGGGGTTGAACTCGGGAACTAATGAATGTTATACCAAAGAGCACTCTATTACTGACCACAATGGAGGTATCCTTATCCCATTCTATTTTCTCAGTCTCTGGTCAATCAGAAAGAAAACAAAGCAACAGTGGGATTAGAAAATTAGGCCAGGGTGGGCAGTGGTGGCACATACCTTTAATTCAGCACTTTCAGGACAGCAAGGGCTATTAAACAAATAAACTCTGTTAAAAAAACAAAAACAAAAACAAACAAACAAACCACCAGAATATTAAGTGACAGAGAAATAGATGCAACAGCTAAGTTGAACTTGCCCACTAACCCATGGTGAAGGGAGCATGCCCATGTTCTGAACATGAACATAAGCTCCCTAATGCTCTTTTGATGGCATTCCATTGAGGCAGACTAAATGCATCTTAGGGGACATTTCCTTCAAACTAAAGAGTGGCTTCCCAAACACTGGTAGATGTTAGGTCTAAACCACGTGACCAATAAATACTCGGGATATGCTTAAGTTTAAGGAAAGAGCACACATGTCAGGCCCCTAAGTTTGATCCCCAACAACACCAGAAAGAAAGAAAAAAAAAAAATACCCCCCAACACACACTTTTCATTACATATCTACACTAAAGATCTTAAAAGTCACTAGCGTATAAAGTACAAGTTGGGCATGGCAACACACATCTAATCTCGGTACTTATGGAATATGGGGCAAAAGAATTCCCAAGGCCTGGATGGAGGACACAGCCCAGCTTGAGGTATAGCAAGGGTCTATCTCTGAAACAGGCAAACAGCATCAACCTGAAAACAATCCTGTTTCCTGCTTCCCCTGGCACTTTAGAACTGTTCCAGGCTCCCTGAGCACAACCCTAAGTTCCACACCACCTTACCACAGTTTCTCAGCACACAAGTCCTGCATTTGCCTACAGGTTCCTATGCTCCCTTCAAGGCTGTTTATCACTTTACATTGAACATGTCATCTACTGGGAAGACCATGGCTTACAAGGTGGTTAGTAACCACCAAATGCTTCAGGAATACTCAGGAACCATTACCTGGGAGTACAAGGGGAAATTAAATTGCAGGTTGGAAGACATCAGAGGATGTATTTGGCACAGGTCTGAGGGATGAGTGGGAGGTGTTAGCTAAGCAGAAGTACTACAGTGGGAAGATCAACAGGTTAAAAACTAAGGCACACTGAGACAGGAAAACGCATAAGTCCAGGAAGAACCCAGTGGTCACAAACCACAAAGAGGGTAAAAGGGCCAGGCAGGAGCAAAGCACCTGGAAGTTTTCAGGATTAGCTTTATTGGTGGTCAAGACCTTGTCCTGCTTTTGGGGAGTGCTTGCCAAGCTGGCCCCCAAACCCTTCCCTGAGGCCTGTGACAGAAACTATCTCAACTCTAGTCATTACATTATATATAACCAAGAGCTTTGTTTTTTTTTTTTGTTGTTGACCCAAACCAAAACCCTCAATAAAAGGTATTTCAGGAGAGATGGCAAAATAGTTAAGAGCAATGGCTACTCTTCCACAGGACCCAGGTTCAGTTCCCAGCACCCAAGTGGCAGCTCACCACTAACTCCAGTTGCAGAGGATCCAACACCCTCACAAACACACAAGCAGGCAAAATACCAACGCACTTAAAATAAAATAAATAAATGTTATTTCTCGCCAGTTTTGCTACTCAGTTGCAGCATAAACAAGGCCAAGTACATATCCAGGACCCAGATCTATGGCACTAAAGATCTGTTTAACAATACATCTAAACATGCAGAAACCCCCACGCCAGGAAAATGTCACACCAGCAGACAGAAATGAATTGACCCAATGGGTATGGCTAAATTTTCCAGTTTTGATAGTTTACTTACAAGGTATTTGTTAGGGCTGGTGAGATGACTCAGTAGTTAAGAACTCTTCTTGCTCTTGCAAAGGACTTTTGTTTGATTCTCAGCACCCACATAGTGGTTCACATCCATCCCTAACTCCAGGGGTTCTGACTGATGCCCTGAGCTCTGCAGGGACCAAGCATGCACACAGTACATATACAAACAGGCAAGACATTCATACACAAAATCCTAAACAATTTTTAAAAGGAAACATCCCTTCATATAAATACATATGTATTTTATGAAGCAAATCATTTTCTAATTTAGTTAATTTTATCATATTTTCCTCACTATTATTGTAGGATATCTCATTTAAGTATTAAAAAGCCCAGGTATGGTCACTCACATTTGAAATGCCAGCACTCTGAAGGCTAAGGCAGGATTGCAACAATGTCCAGGCTAACCTGAGCTAACGAGTGATGAGTGTGGGGAGGGGGGGAAGGTGAATAGGAAGAAAAAATTAAAAGGCACAGGTGGCCTCTGAGTTTTTTGTTATTGCTTTGGAGCCTGTCCTGGAACTCCTCACTCTGTAGACAAGGCTGGCCTTGAACTCACAGAGATTTGCCTGCCTCTGCCTCCTGAGTGCTGGAACCACCAACGCCAGGCTCACCTCTGAATTGTTCCCAGTGGCAGTAATAGGACTGGGCGCTTCATGGACCCCTCGGCCTCTATTACGGTTTCACTCACCAAAACCTGGATGACCACAAAGTAGACTCTCAAAGGTACCAGAAAATACACACCAACTTTATTAGAACAACAGAAATTTCCAACTTCAAAGAAGGAAAATAACATGAAGCCAGAGCCACCTGGGAAGTGTCACATCACATTACTGTTCTGATGGCTCCTGGCCACAATGAGCGATACAGGAGACCACCACCATCATAGATGCTGCAAGGCCATGCTTTTGCCTGTGTCAGCTTGGTTATCAAGGCCACAGACAGAAGACTCACTTTGCAGCTTTGGGTGTGGAGAGAATCTATCAATGTAGAGAGCAGAGCCTTGTTTCTCCATCTAGAACAAAACAAACTATGAACTAACCTAGCAATTTTCCTTCCAGTCTGCTAGAGTGCTCTGTGAAGACCTCTCTTTCATCCCCACCAGTGAGGTGAGGGAAAGACAGGGGCAGGGGGCCAAGATACTAGGTCTAGCAGGATGTTCTGGTGACATGCTGGGCTCCAGTCCCTTTCTGCTGGTGGTAGTAGGCGTCTTTTCTGGCAGCTGCAACAGCTTGATGGGGGAGGAAGGACCAGCCCACCCATCACCTCTTCTTGAAGCCGTATTTTTTGCGTTCATAGAACAGGTCTGTCTTAGAGCTCCCCAAATTGACAATCTTTGGGCAACCGTCTCTCTGAAAAACAGAACCATGTTGTTAAGTCCTTGAAATTGGCTTCAGAGATTTAAGATTTAGCCCAGAAGCACAAAAGCATGAGCACCTGAGAGTTCGCAGTCCACAGCCTGAGCCTACCATCTAACCCCCAACACCTCCCAACAAAAAAACAATTTCTAAAAGATCTAAGCAAGGGGTGGTAGTGCCACACACTTTAATTCCAGCAGGAGGGAGGAGCAGGTGAGTGGAGGCCAGCATGGTCTACAGATCGAGTTCCAGGACATCCAGGGCTACACAGGTAAACCATGCCATGAAAAAAAAAGAAACCAAACCAAACCAAACCCAAACCAAATCACCACCACCAAAAATCACATTATCAATGTGTTTTGCTCTTTAAGTATATCCAAACACTTTCATTTCCTTAACTGGGGAAGGCACCCAGATCACGCAGAACTGTCTCTTCCGCAGCTTTTATGAGTTTTCAGAGAACCTTTTTAAATTAAATCCACCCCCCCAAAAGAAACAATTTAAAATTTACTTAGCATGTATGCACATACACATGCTATGGTATCAGCACAGAGCTTGGAGGACACTGGGTTCTGGGGACTGAGGTCCAGTTGTCAGGTTTAGCAGTAAAGGCCTGTACTCAGTGGGAAATCTTGTCAGCCCCTCAAATACCATTTTATAGCTTTTGGGTTAATGGTCTATTAATCTTTCCAGTTATCCTAAATAAAATAAACTACGTGAGAATGGTAGAAATGGCATGACAACAAGTGAAAGAAATGTTTCTCAGTCTGAGAAATGACAGTGAAGTGGTTAGAGGAAGTGCATGGATTACACCAAGCACCTCCCATCATCATTCATACTGTCTTCTATCTCCAATATATGAATGATCTGCAACTTACACTCCTAGCCAACATTATCATATTTCTTCGTATTTAATACCTCATTAGAAATATGTGGGTGCTGAAGAGATGGCTCAGTGGACTGGCTGCTATTAAAGGTTGGGTTGTTCAACCCTTGTACTGCAAAAATAAATAAAAATACATTTTAAACTCCACAACTGTTATTTTTCTTATTCTGTGTTTGGGATCAGGGAGATTTGTTTGCCATCACATCATGAGAATATACAAACTAGTCCTTCATTACCAAGGTTTGAAGATATTGATGAGTCCTGGTTAGAGTTAATGATTTGTAAGACAGGGTATCCCAGACTGGTTTTATTATTTTTGGTTCCTTGAGATAGATTTCTGCGTGTAGCCCTGGCCATCCTGGAATGCTCTGTATAGCCCAGGCTGGACTCAAACTCAAAAGATCTGCATTCTTCTGCCTCCTCAGTGCTGGAATTAAAGGTGTGAACCACCAATGCCTGACCCCAGAATGGTTTTAAACTGGGAATTCTCCTCCCTCAGTATACCAAGTGCTGGCATTACAGACATGCACCACCATGCCTAACTCCTGATTCTCGATTATTTTTGAGGTTTTGAAAAACTAAAAATGAGGATACCTAGCTCAGCTTACTGGCCTAATTAATTACCTTATAAATTATAAAAGATACAGGAAGAGGAGAACAATAAGGAGGGGTGGCTTTTGCTGCAGGAAGATTTCTGCACAGGAAAAAGCCTAGGCACTGCATCTACATGACCATCTGTCTCTAAGGGTGAGAGACTGGATCATGTCACAAGACTGCTTTGTGTTCCTTGGAAACTAGTGCCAAGTAATTGTGAGCTTGAGCTCAGGTGTCCTCAGAACATTCCATATAACGGGAGTAGGTGAAGTGACGTCTAAAATAATTCTCGGGGGCAGAATGAGGGACAGGGATCCAAAGGTATCAGATCACAGGGTGCATGCTGACAAGTGAGATGGCAATTACTGTTTAGTAAACATTCTTTGGTTCCAAGTTTAAGTCAGAAACAGACTCTAGCTGTAATTCAAAGTTCAAGAAAGTGTTGTCTCTTAAGAATTGTGTGTACCTCCTCTTTCCATTATACTTAGTACTTCCTAGTTCTTAAGTAACAAATGTCCAGACAGTGTGTGTGTGTGTGTGTGGGGGGGGTGTCTCCCAGGAATACTTTATAGGCACAGTACCAAAAACAGAGCATCATCCATGTATTACAGATTAGGCACTGTTACCAAGACTCGAAAAAAGAAAAGATGGACATGATCTACAGCTGTGGAAGACAGAATACAACCAACTGAGTTCTAGTTGTCTAAGGAATTGGAAAGAGCATTTAGGGCAGTAAATTGTTCAAACCACCAACTGAAATTATGATTTCATACTTAATCGACAACTTTCTTCTTTTCCCAAACAACAGTAGATTCAAAAGAGTAAACAATACTTTTCAGCTGCTCTAAAACTCTATCCTGGGCCAAGTACCCCTTTGTTTCTCTAAGAAGGACAGGGAAAATCAGCAAGCAGATAAAGGTATTAGTGGGCCAAAGCACTCATCAGTGGGGGAAAACCAACTCCAGGCAAGCAGTCCTCTTAACACCACATGCCCCCACACAAATAGATGTTAACAAAGAAATTCAACCAAACCGAACCCAACCCTGTAGTATTGAGTACAGTGAGAAGGCTATTTCCAACAGAAATCATTTGTTTATCCTGTGGCATAAAATGCAAGCAGGGAATAAGAAAACCCTGAAGCTCATCCATGGAGAAAAACGCTCTCTATTGGGAACTCTAGCTAAATGCTTCAGTGTGGCTTCCCCAATCAACTTTTGCTGATGTGGTAAGACCTGATTTGATGATGTTTTGCTATCTACCTGCTACTTGATATTTATTTCCTCACCTTTGCAAGTCAACCAAAACTGAAAGTGAAGCTATCATATGTCATCTTCTGCAATACATAGAACAACCTCCTCTCCCTCCTCCAAGCCCTATTTGGCTTCTGGTAATGGTGGTGGGTAACAGCACATGTGTAGTGCAGGGGCAGCTGAAAGGGGGTGCTGTTAGCATCATGAGCACACACCAAGAAGGACTTAGAAAAGCATAACATGATGTAATGTGGACACAAGGTTTAGTCAGACAGCCTGGGATAGAGTATAAAAACGAGGATAATAACCTCTACCTACACAGTCATGTGGTATGAGGAATAAGAGAGAAATTACATTTACAAACCTCCTACACTTTACTCTTGGGAAGATGAAGTTACATAAATATTGTCTTATTTTAGACTAGGTACTCCAGCACCCTCTATTAGTCTAGTGAGATTGTATTCTACTTCCTTTCATTTTGTCACAAGAGAAACAATGCCTTGTTGCTAGGACCTAATATTATTCTAAGAACAGGGTTAAATCCCTGTAGCCTGACCTACAAGCCCTCTCACTGAGCCTTGTTCAGAGAACCAAAGGCTACCTATACATTTCCTTTCCACACTACACACCTTTAAGAAACAAAAGCATAAGGAAAACTGGCAATCAATTCATTACACAACACCATTGTTTTTAAAGGTGGGACCAACCAGAACTAACTCTAATTCAATTTTGTCACCATACACACCAAACTGTCCTTGATCACAGTACTCAAGAGAACTGAGTTGGGCATGTAACCCTAGTAGCTACCTAGAAGGCTGAGGCTGAAGGAACGCTATGAATTTGAGGCCTAGGACACAGGGCAAGACTACCTCAACACTCCCCCCCCCCCTTCAAAGATAACTACTACTGATGTGGGTATGCTGGTACAAATTTGTAAGCTCTGCAGTCAGAAAGCTGAGGAAGCAGAATTTTTAGTTCCAGACTAGTTTGGGACAAATACTTGATATCTATGTCTAGCATGAAAAAGAGGAAGACAAAACTATTGAGTGTCTAGTAAACACCACCTATGTGCTCTTTATAACTCAAAAACAAAGGATGTTATATATGCATAAGAATAGTAATGAGCCTTTAATTCCAGCACTGGGAGGCAGAGGCAGGTGGATCTCTTGAATTTGAGGTCAGCTTGATCTACAGAGTTAGTGCAAGGACAGTCAGGGCTACACAGAGATATCCTGTCTCGAAAAACAAACAAAAAATAATAAGGAACTGACAAGATGGCTCAGCAACAATGCTTGCTAATGTTATATCAACCTGACACAAACTAGAATCATTTTGAAAGAGGGAATCTCAACTGAGAAAACCCACTAGACTGCCCAGTGATACATCTCTGTGATTGATAATGGATGTGGGAGAGCCCAGCCTATTGTAGGTGGTGCTACTCGTGGGCTGGTGATCCTGGATGCTGTAAGGAAGCAAGCTTAGCAAGCCTCAAGGGAGCAAGCCAGTAAGCAGTGATCCTCCATGGTTTTTGCATCAATTCCTGCCTCTAGGTTCCTGCTCTGAATTCCCACAGTGGCCTGTTACATGGTGAGGTAGGAAAAATAAATCTTTTCCTCCCTAGTCTGCTTTTGATCATGGTGATTCATCACAGCAATCAATACAAACCCAACTAAGACAGCAAGTAAATATACTTGCCAAGCCCAACAATTTGAGTTAAACCCCCAGGACCAGAGTGTAAAGGGAGAAATGACTTCCACAGGTTGTCCTTTGATCTCTACACAGGTCCATGCTCATTCACCAGAGACATCAAAGCAACAGAGAAAAGGTTCTCCAGATTGCTGATACTGACAAAGACAGGCTTCTCTTGCATTCTGCCTTTGATACAGAATAATTGCTCTTTACTAGACCACATCTAGTTGGGCTCACAGGCTTGATGGAATTACCTACATGACTAGCTGAACACTGCAATCTCCATAGACCAGAAGAGAAAGCCATGGGTGACAAAATGGTCCAAAGGAAAAGAAAGAAAGGCCAGGCAGGAAAGCTTAGTCTACACTCACATCCTTCTCCTGAATTGTGCACTCTTTACAATAGTAGGCATCAGAGACTCCAGGACCTCCACAGATCACACAACGGCCCTGGTAAGATCCATAGTTACACTCATCACATATTCGAACCAGGGTGCAGGGTCGCACATAGGAGTCACAGATCACACATTTGCCATCACCTGCAAAGGAAGGAGAATGGAGTTATAGTCACTAGCGATTACTTCCTAAAGATCTTTGTTCTATGGGGGAAATAACTAGTGTCGCTTTGACTGTGACTTTAGGCCTTTCCTCCATCTTGACAGCATCTGCCCTATCCTATATCTTACTTTAGTTTCCTTCAACATATACAAATGTTAACTCATATATGGGAAGAGTTTGGGGCATTAGCTGGGAGCTTATAAGACTATGTAGTTATCATCAACAAAGTGCATGCTTTCCTGCATACACATTGGATGGGAAGGTTCACACTACTGACGGTTATTTTTCTTTTTAAAGATTTATTTATTATGTACATAGTGTTCTGCCTGCACACCAGAAGCAGGCACAGATCTCTTTATAGATGGTTGTGAGCCACCATGTCGTTGCTGGGAATTGAACTCAGGACCTCTGGAAGAGCAGCCAGTGTTCTTAACCTCTGAGCCGTCTCTCCAGCCCCATACTCTGACAGTTCTTAATATCCAAAAGTAGACATTTTTTTTTCCAAAACCTAAATATGAAGTACTAAAAGTGTGCAAGCTCAAGTGAGAGGAAGTGAGGGGGGGACTTTGGTTGTAGCCAGACATTCAGTGTTCTTTGCAGTCTGGCATATCCATCCAATGCTTCTTTGCTGTTCCTCTAAAATTAAAGGCTTGTGGGCTCGTCAAAAAGCAAAGGAAGGCAGGCAATGTGTGAGAGGGCATGTTCCACTCACATTTTTCACACAGTCTTCCGATAGCTGTAAGGTAAAAGACAAGTAAAAAGTAGAGTTAAAATTAAAATGGTGACTTAGCAAAGAAGTTGTTCCTCAAGCTGGGGATAGAGGATGGGGCAGGTAGCAATGACTGCAGTAGCTGATCAGGACAGCTGTCTTAGTCTCCTTTTTCTCCACTCTCCACCCCCTTTGAGACAGATTCTCATTGTATAGACTGGAACTTCTTATGTAGTTCAGGCCAGCCTCGAACCCGCAGCAATTATCCTGCCTTCAACCTCCCTGCAGCTGGGATTACAGTCGTGAACTACCACGCCCTGCCTATGCCCCTAAATTTTGCTTTGCACCAACGCCTTGTCCCCATAGTTGTCCTGAATGCTCTAAGCAATGTAGCACGGCTTCTCCAGACCTGGCACAGACCCTCCCGCCAACTTCAGGCTCCCACATGCGCGCTCCTGCCCTCTTATCAGAAGCCACAAACCGGTGCGCACCTCCAGAATACCCAGGGACCTTAAGGCGCGAAACGTGGAGCCCCCAAGCCAAGGTCCTAAAAAGGAAGCGAATACCCCACTCTCCCGTTTCTAACAACATCTCACTTCAACGGAAAGGAGCAGGGAGTCAACTCACCAACACCAGCCTGCTTGCGGCAGAAAATCAAATCTGGATGATGTTTAGCCATAACTCTTCCACAAGCCGGCGGCCGGAAGCTTAGAGAATTTCCGCTTGACCTTTAACCTACGCCGTTCCTACACCCAGTTCTCCATCATGATTGGCCGTCAAGGTGCCCATCAGAATTTGCCCTTCCTTGCACTAAAATCCCGCTAGTTCTCGCGAGTTTTCTCAGTGTAAGCTCCCCTTACCCTAACAGGTGCATCAATGACTTTAATAAAAAAATTTTTTCTTCCCGACTTGAACGCATAAACTAAGCTTTTTTCTTGGATAAAATTTCTACATATGGCTGGGTGATGGCGTAGCACAAGCCTTTAGTTCCAGCACTCGCGAGGCAGTAGTGGTAGGCTGATCTGTGAGTTCGAGAACAGCCAGGGCTGTCTCGAAAAAAAATTTGTACTTATGCTACTTTTTGTGCTCGGGGTTGTTGCCAGGGCCTCATTGTATGCTTCCGCAAAATATGTGGTTTGGGGGTTCCCCTTTTAGGATGACCTTGAACTCCTGACTCCACTCCTGTCTCCCTTCCCAATTGCAAAGACGACAGTACTGCGCAGAAAGCCAAGTTGGCAGTTTCTCTTTCTAGCTGGGTTCCTGTCATAGAAGTCCCGCCCACTGCGCTCTCTGGACTCCCGGGAGGAAGGCGCCACCGTCACCGTGACGCGCCTCTCTGGAAGCCACGCCCCTCCCCAGTCCCTTCAAAAGCACCATGTGGCACGTCACTTTCACGCGACCTCATCTTTGTCAGTGCACAAAATGGCGCCTTACAGCCTACTGGTGACCCGGCTACAGGTGAGCGAGTTCAGATGTGTGGGTTCACCGGGGCGGGGAGCCTGCTGCTCTGCCTGCGGCGGTAGGCGAGGCCCTGCGAGGCGGGCTCGACTTGGGGCTGACTTTTGAGTCCCTGTCCCGGTTGCGGGCCCGGCGTCCTTGTCCGCTACTGCGTTGTCCTAGGTCAAGATGTCCCTGGCACAGTCAATTCCCAGTCCCCGTCACCGCCCAGCGGGAAGCTTGGGTTTAAGCATCTGCAGCCTGATAAAAGGTGGGGGCTCCCCTTATTTCCCAGGGGCCAAATTGCCTGCCCCCAGTGTGGTTTTCTGTTCTCAAGGTGATGACAAGGTGACTGGGGGGCGCGGTGGTTGTGGGTTCCTCTAAGCTGGGTGTTTGAAGCCCTCACTTCCCATTAACAGCAAATACTTGCCAACCATTTATATCAGTGGTTCTCAGGCCTGGAGTCTGCAGAAGCTATACCCAATACTATCTTTTGAGGACACTTGGGGTCATAGATGCGAGAACGGTAGAATATTCTGAGCCCCCAATATAGTAAACAGTCATGATGATAACAGTGGTTTCTCACCTCTGCACCAGATGTCAAGACTGTTTATTAATATAACTTGATTTATATATTTCTGGCAACAAAGATGTCAGATGATTTTTTCCAAACTCAGTAGATAGTTAAACTGCAAAAAAGTAGATGAGAGTTCTGACTTTCACAGTGTCACTAAAGTGCCATAGCCTGAGCAGTGACCCTAATGGCCCTCTGTTCTCCTTGTTCATGGCAGAACTGTCTGATCCAGGGTGTGGTCGTTTGTATTTGTCAGCGTACAAAGTCAAGTATTTCAAATTCACAGTTAGTTGCTTTTTAGATACTAGGTGGAAAGATGAGACTCAACAGTTTGACCTTGACTCTGCTGTTATGAGACATCTAGAAAGTTGACTATGACTGGCAGATGGCTTTTCACTCCTAACTTGACAATCCTAGGAAGGTATAATGTTAAGTTTACTGTAAAGTATGTATTTTTTCAATAAAAATAAAGCAATAAAAGTACCTGTAGACATTTTCTGGTAACCTTTTATGATTACTTTTGTGAATCTGCCACTTTGGACCAAGTGACACAACTTTTAACATAGAATTAATTTTAAAAAGTTATGTGCTGCATCCTCAGGAAGCATTATATTCAGTGTTATCTTTTTGTCAAATTACTTAAAATCAAAGTGTAAAATAAAACTCTTCGTTTATCTGAACAGATCATTTGAATTTTGACCAAGGCAAGGGATTTACAGCTAAATTATCTCTGCAGTTCTTTTGATTCTGTAGATAGTATGGAGAGTTTTGTCCTGACCCTGTTGTCCTTTGATTTAGTGGAGCCAGAAAAAAAGATTATTTAATGGGATAAATGACTTTTGAGTTTGGAGAAAAATATAATGTCACATTTGGACCTTGGAAAGTATGAGTGTAGAAAGAAATCTGGGCTATAGTTCAGGTCCTGCTCTGATCCCATGACCTTGTAATTTTAACTTCCTATGTTCTTTGGCTATCAGCTGGGGATGGTCGTCATTAAACAAATGTTTATTTAACACTTACAACCTCTTTTATATTTGGCAAATCTAAGATGTTGAGGACAGGGTTGACTACTGGAGGCAGGATTCAAATAAAAGTCCCTCACATGCTCATTCAGCTAAGGTGAATGAGTAGTAGTATATATCCTTTGCAATATACCACTGCACTCAGATAGGCAGACTGTCTCTAATGCCTCATGACTCTGTACTCTGAGAACATCTGTCAGCTATCTCTTTTATGCTTGCATGCATTTGAGAAGTGATGGTTAATACCTTGGTAGCTATGTCTGGTCAATCAATGAATTGATTACTTCATAAACATCATGGGCTTTTTCTTTTCTTCTTTCAGTCTCATTTTGGTGTTGTTTTTGAGACTGGTTATTACTGTGTTCTTGGTGCTGGCCTGGAACTTTTAATTCTCCTTCCTTAGCCTCATGAGTGCTTGGAGTACAGGTACATGCCACCATGGCCAATAGAAAAATTGATGAGAAAACAACCCTAGCTTTTTTGTTTTTGTTTTTTTCCCAGTGCATTTAAAGTTTTATTATTTTATGTTAATGTGTATGGGTGTTTTGCCTGCATGTATGTATATGCACCACGTACATAAAAGCAATCAATGTTCACAGAAGTCGGAAGAGAGAATCAGATCTTTCTGGAACTGGAGTTAGAGAAGGTTATGGAAGAGCACCCTGGGTCCTCTGAAAGAGTAGCCAGTGATCTTAACCACTGAGTCACCTTGCTACTCTCCAGTTCCTATTCTTGTGGAATATTTACTATATTCTAATGTACCCTTAGATCTTTCTCAGCCTGAATATTTGTGCTGGACCAAACATGAAAGAAGGTTATAGAATGGTTAGTATCATTCCTGCCACTAATGCTAGCATTTATCTTACTAAGTAATTGCTCGTGACTCTGGGATAAGGCATACCTAAGAACAGCAGTGTTTCAGGTGAAGGAACAGAAAGGAAATACAGCATAAAAGCTAATAGCATGAATTCATGCATCAAAATGTTTGGGTTTAAAACCTGGCTTATTACTAAGTAACTGATACTCAGCAAGTTACACCATCTCTCTGTACCTGTTTTCTCATCTTTAATTTAATTAAATTTATTTTGTTCTTTTGAGATGGTTTCTCAGTGTAGCTTTGGAACCTATCCTGGAACTTGCACTTGTAGACCAGGCTGGTCTCGAACACTCAGAGATCCGCCTGCCTCTGCCTCCTGAGTGCTAACATTAAAGGTGTGTGCCACCACTACCACCTGAACTCCTCATCTTTTAAATACCATAATATGTCTATTTTAATCAAATAACAGGTGTAAGGTGTTCAGACCCCTATCTGACACCAGTGAGTTCTATACTCATTAAGATAAGGAAATGCTTATGTTTTTATTTTATTTCAGTTTTGGTTTTTCGAGATCAGTACTCGGGAGGCAGAGGTAGGTGTATCTCTGTGAGTTTGAGGCCAGCCTGGTCTACAAAGCTACACAGAGAAACCCTGTCTGGAAAAATTAAATAACAAAACACCTCTGCCTTTGAATTTTAAACAGGTTATTCTGGTGGTATGTTCACTGTGAAGCCTTCCTGGGACCAATTGTTGGTTTAAAGTGAAAAAGTCTGTTGTGAAGAGTTAGTGAATCAACTTTTGGTCTCAGATTTAGGTATCCAGCATACTATGTAGAGGACTAGCACAGCATTGCTGTGTGAACCAACTGCTTCTAAGATGTATCTTACAAGCTTGCTGTCTAACTCTAGGCTCTGGGAGTGGGAAGTAAACAAACAGGGAGGCTAAGCCAGGTCCCATAGCACATGCTTGTTGCCTCAGCTGCTCTTCAGACTGAGGGAGGTGAGGAATTGGAAAATGACCAAGTAGACAAATAAGAAATTTGGTTCTGCTAGGTGATGGTAAATGTCTTTAGTCTCATCAATGTATGTGGTGGGGCGGAGAGAAGTTGGCTTCTGAGTTGGAGACCATCCTGGTCTACATAGTGAGTTCTAGGAGAGCCAGAGTTGTGTATAATAGAAAGATCCTGTTTAAAAAAAAAAAAAAAAAAAAAAAAAAAAAAGGTTGGTTGTTATGAATATAAGTAGAATAAAGATAAGATGAAGAAGAGTAAAGAGGAAATAGAATAGAGGTAAAGAGTAAGAGATGGGAATGTGTCAGAATTTCAACTTTGGGATGACTGCAGAGGAGGTGACCTTTGAACTGAGATTTAGGTGGTAATAAGATAGTGACACTGTGTTTTGTGAGAGGAGATGTCAGATAGAAGCAGCAACATGTACAGAGTATTTGATAGAGGTTTGAGCTGGTGTGTTGAAGGTAAGACAGGCAGTTAATTGATGTCATGGGAGGGAAAGCTGAGAAGGAAATGGGTCATGAAGACTTGTTAAGGAACTTCAGGTTTACACCCACTCAAGTACCCAGAGGAAAATCCACTGGATGACTTTCTCCTATCTGTCTGTCTGTCTGTCTATCTTCTTTATTTTTATTTTATTTGTATATGTAATTTGTCTGTACACTACATGCATGCAGTGCCCATGGAGGCCAAAAGAGGGTAACAACCCCCCTGGGACTGGAGTTGCAGATTATTGTGAGGTGTTGGGAATTGAACCCAAGTCCTGGAAAAGCAGCCAGTTGAGTCATCGTTTCAGCCTTACCTCTGTACCATTTTAAGTCAGGGAATAACATTA